TCAGATTCAGTCAGATGGTCATTTTACACCCAGATGGTGCATCTTACCCACTGACTCGACTCGGGTCAACTTACCCCAAACCCGGGGCAAACTGAGCCATGGGAACACTTTTTTATATGAAGCATTATTTTTAGAACCCTTTGTCATAGATACATTCTGATAATTTAAAATGATAGGAATACTTTCATTTGGACAGGATGGATACTTTCATTGTACTTCTGCATCATTTTCCCTTATCTTGAGGACCACACAAGTAAAAAGTGGCTAATCTTACCCCACTCTCCCCGTAAGTATTAGACGTAATTTAACATTTTACAGCATAAATCTATATTATATATTAATAAACAACTAATTTAGAACATTTATACTATTTTTTTAACTATTTGTAGGCTTACTATTAATTTGGTTTTAATAAAATATTATTAAAGATTACTAGTATCAAGACAAGTAATTAAAATGGGAAATATACTTAATTGCAAGAATTAAAGTGTGTCAAACTGCTAAATATTCTATATGATGATTTATCTGCTGGCTTGCTGGAGCTTTGAATTCATGTTTGCAGTGTTGAACTGCCTTTAGCAGCCTCCCTTCACTTTTTCTCTCTCTGTCTTCTTTTTTGCGAAGGCATTTTTTTTGTCTACAAAGTGTGCCAACAACAGCAAATTTGGTGTTATCTATATTAGATCTGATCGGGTACAATAATTTGATTAGACATTCTAATTCTAAGAACATGGATATTTTGTACAAGTTGTTAGTGCTTTTAGAAGGCCGAGTCATTACCGACAAAAATAAAAACAAACAAACTACCAACTAATTACTAATTCAGTGGATCAACCACTGACTAATGTGGATCTAAAATCTAAATGAGTTAAAGGGGTCATAAAATTGATTTTTTATTATTTGAATGTGTTCCTTGAGGTTTACTTATAATGTTAAAGTTTTTTGCACAAAAAAACCCCCAAACAAAAGCAAATAAATATGTGGAAAAATGATTAATTTCAACCCTCATTCTGACCCTTGCTCTAGAATGGCTTGTTCTCTTTCATAGGTTAACTTGATGCTGCATAGCTATGACTCAATGGGAATGCCCTCTGGGTGGGCCGATTGTCTGAAGCAAGCATAGAATCATGCCAATTCACTGGCTGATGGCGCGGGCACTGCCTCAGCGCTGAAACTGTATGCGTTTACGCCTGTCGAGTTGAATTCTGGCAGTACTGTGCAGGGTCAAGGAGAGCGGGGTCCGTCTCCTGCTCGTAGCTCAGTTCTGGCCATCTCAGCTCGCCCTCCGTGGGAGATTCCGATCAGAAAAGTTCTGCTATCTCAGCTTCAAGGCAAGATCTGACACCCTCAACCTGAGATCTGGAAGTTGTGGGTATGGCTCATATAAGGCCAGAAGCCTTGACTTCTAATTAATTACATTTATATAGCGCTTTTCTAGGCACTCAAATCACTTTACATTGTGAGGGGGTTTCTCCTCGTCCACCACCAGTGTGCAGCATCCAACTGGATGATGCGACGGCAGCCATAGTGCGCCAGAACGCCTACCACACACCAGCTTATTGGTGGAGAGGAGACAGAGTGATGAACCAAATCAGTAGATATGGGGATTGTTAGGAGGCCATGATGGTCAGAGGCCAATGGGC